ATCAATACTGCTAACAACCAGATATATAGATTTCTGAATGTATCTGACTGCTTTCCCATTGAACAACTCCCTTTTTCATTCTTTCTTTTTTTTTCTTTTTTCTTTTTTCTTTTATAATAAACCTTTAGTTTGGATGCTTTCTTGCTTTCTGTCTTATAAACCTTTAGTTTAGATTCTAAAGGATTGGCTGGCATCATAGTATTTTGGGTAAGATCCAAACCTATAGTGACCTGGTAATGTGGCTGACTCTGAGGTCAGAAGAACACTGTGTTTATATGAGCAGAGTTTTTAAATAACCTCTCACTGTACTGGACCTAGGTGCTGATTGGGAGTCAGAGAAGTGCAATGCAATAAAGGGGGCTGTGATTTCTTTTTTCAGTTTCTCGATAACCAGCGTGGGGGATCAGAAGTACAGTTTGTGAGTGGTCGGTGAATTTAACTTCAGTGTTAACCACCAGTTTTGGGAGCATCTGCTCTGCCTTTTTCAGCCTACCCTGATATTGGCATTTTCAGTGAGGACTGCCCCAGGCACACCAGGTCACACTAAGTACTGAAGTTAAATTAATAGTGTTTTTTTATGACACAGTCGTATGAAATCAACTGAACTCCTTTGTTTTCTTTCATCTGAGCAGGGTTTCTGGTTTCCAAATCTGATGTGATCTCCCAGCTGGAACAAGGGGAAGAGCCCTGGGTCCCAGACCTCCAGGATTCAGAGGAAAGAGAGATCCTGAGAGCTCCCTGCACAGATGAGGAAACATTAAACCAACTCAGAATCTGTAAGTGCCTGAAAGAAACATCTGGGATGTCCTACAAAGCCTTTGGGACTTCTCTCAGTTCATTATTGTCCCTAGCGGGATTGTATCCTCAGGGTAAATATAGCTCATGGCTTCCTGTAGATCCTAGCAGACACCAGGAAGCTTCCTCCCTTCCCCCTGTGAAGTTGAATGGGATGCGAAAGCCAAAATGATCCCCTCCTCTCTCCTATTTAGGGGAAGAATTTGGAAGAGTTCATTTCCTGTTTTTATTTAACCTCTCTCCAGCACTTGTTTTGGTTTGGCCTTCCCCTTTCCATCCCTGTTTGAGGTTTCTGTCTCTATCACAGCAGGTGATGCAATGGTATATGAGAAAGAGGAGCAGAATTCTCAGGAGGAAAATGTTGAGCAAGTGGATAAACACAGAGCATTGTCTCAAAGATCAAAAAGGAATGTGTCCAGGAGTTATGAGAAGGCAAAATCCTGTGAGATACAGCACAGACCAGAAAGAGAGCAAGGACACCAGCCAGGGGAGAAAATGGGTAAATTTATTTCCTGTTGGGGAACTCAGAAGAGTGTCAAGGAAACCACAACACAGCAGGAAATCCTCATGGGAAAGAGGAAAAATACATGCAGCGAGTGTGGAAAATGCTTCACTCAAAGATCATCCCTTTCTGTACATCAGGGAATCCACACAGGGGAGAGGCCCTATGAATGCCATGAGTGTGGGAAAAACTTCACTAGCAACTCCAACCTTTCTAAACATCAGAGAATCCACACAGGGGAGAAGCCCTATGAATGCCGTGAGTGTGGGAAAACCTTCACTCAAAGATCAGGCCTTTCTGAACATCAGAGAATCCACACAGGGGAGAGGCCCTATGAATGCTGTGAGTGTGGGAAAAGCTTCACTCGCAGATCAATCCTTTCTAAACATCGGAGAATCCACACGGGGGAGAGGCCCTACGAATGCCATGAGTGTGGGAAAAACTTCATTACCAGCTCAGCCCTTTCTTACCATCAGAGAATCCACACAGGGGAGAGGCCCTATGAATGCCGTGAGTGGGGGAAAACCTTCACTCAAAGATCAGGCCTTTCTGAACATCAGAGAATCCACACAGGGGAGAGGCCCTATGAATGCTGTGAGTGCGTCACAAGCTTCATC